GATCTTGACTCACTGCTCACTGCAACCTCCAATTCCCGGGTTCAAGCGATTCTCCTGCCTCAGCCTCCCGAGGAGCTGGGATTACAGGTGCCTGCCACCACACCCAGCTAATTTTTGTATTTTTAGTAGAGACAGGGTTTCACCATGTTGCCCAGGATGGTCTCGAACTCCTGACCTCAAGTGATCCACCTGTCTTGGCCTCCCAAAGGGCTGGGATTATAGGCGTGAGCCACCGCACCCGACCTAGGGTTCACTCTTAAAGTAACAGTTCTATGGCTTTTGAGGAATGTATAATGACTTGTATCCACCATTGTAGTATCTTATGGAGTAGTTTCACTGCCCTAGGAAGGCCCCGTTCTCTACTTATTCACTCCCTTTCTTTCCCCCCAATGCTTGATCTTTTTGCCGTAAAGTTTTGCCAGCTGTCTTCAATTTTCGAGGCTCGATGGTATGTTTTCTTGCCTTCCTTCCCTGTTATTCTTAATCAGTTTTCCAGGCCGTTCTCCTATGTTGATGTTTCCATATACATCTTATTTTTATTTTATTGATTTTTTTTTTTAGAGATGGGGTCTCGCTTTGTTGCCCAGTCTGGTCTCAAACTCCTGGCCTCAAGCGATCCTCCCGCCTCAGCCTCCCAAAGGGCTGGGATGACAGACGTGAGCCTTCTTCCCTCACTCTCTTGGCCTTTGCCAGGATTTGTGCTTCAGAACTCAAAATTCAGAGAGCATCCCAGGGACTCTGACAGATCTGGGTCTGAAACCCAGCTCTTTGCCTTCCTGAGCCTCATTTTCCTTGTTTGTAGGGTGGGGACAATGGCTACCCCTGAGAATCATTGACAGGATTCAATTGAATGAGCTGCCTTGTTCCCCGCCATCCCCAGGTGCTAAAGACACGGCTGACCTTGCGACGGACGGGCCAGTACAAGGGGCTACTGGACTGCGCCAGGCAGATCTTGCAGCGGGAGGGCACCCGCGCCCTTTACCGCGGCTACCTGCCCAATATGCTCGGCATCATCCCCTACGCCTGCACCGACCTGGCTGTCTATGAGGTATGGGTCCTGCAGAGGGGGTGGCAGGGGTGGCCGGAGCCCAGGCTGCTAGTGAGCTTTCTCCTGGCCCCCCTTCTCTTGCAGATGCTCCAGTGCTTCTGGCTGAAGTCAGGCAGGGATATGGGGGACCCCAGTGGCCTGGTCAGTCTGTCATCTGTGACGCTATCCACGACCTGTGGCCAGATGGCCAGCTACCCACTGACTCTGGTGCGCACCAGGATGCAGGCCCAAGGTCAGCCTGCCCCCAGCGGCCACCACGCATGCCCATTCCCCGCAAGGCCCTGGCTGTCTTAATTTTCTCATTCCCCAAAACTGAGTCCGGCACCCTCCATGTCTGATCCCAGCCCACTTTTGATGGCTTTTGAGACTCCATCTCAATATATACATATAAAGTAGCCAGGCATGGTGATACAGACCTGTGGCCCCAGCGACTTGGGAGGCTGAGCCTGGAGGATCCCTTGAGCTCTGGAGGTCGAGGCTGCAGTGAGCTATGATCGTGCCTCTGCACTCCAGCCTGAGTGAGAGAGCCAGAGCCTATCCCCACTGCCACCCTCGAAGAAAATTTCCTAAAATTAATCCTGAAAACTCCTACTCAAACACTCCCCCACTCTTCCTAAAACTGACCAATTTCCTCTAAGACTTTGAAATTCCTTTCCTACTGACCCCTGGGGCCCCTACCGGTGGCTTCAGCACCTGTCTGCAACATTCCAGACTCCTAGGAGGCCGGGTCATCTCTGGCCTAGTTCTGATCTTGTCTGTGTCCCTGCAGATACCGTGGAGGGCTCAAATCCCACCATGCGCGGAGTCCTCCAGCGGATCCTGGCCCAGCAGGGCTGGCTAGGGCTGTACCGAGGCATGACCCCCACGCTACTGAAGGTCTTACCAGCAGGTGGCATCAGCTATGTGGTGTACGAAGCCATGAAGAAAACCCTGGGCGTATAGGCTGTGAGCTGGACGACACAGCCTAGGCAGAAATGGGACAGGAGGACCTGATGACCCCTGGCCTCAAAGAGCCCTCAAGGCCTCAAGGCTCAGGCCCTGGAGCAGTTGTTGGCGGCAAAAGCAGGCTGGGGGTGGGGTGGGGGTGGGGCGCTGGGTCAGAAGATTCCTGAGGCTGGGGTTGGTGGGTGGGGGGTGATGCTGCGTCAGAAGATTCCCGGGGCTCCCTCCCCACGGTGCAGCCTGAGACAAGAAACGTGGACTCCAGTCTGGCTCCTTGTGGGTCGTCCTGGCTCCAGGGCGAAATGGTGAACATGTCACACAACGAGGAATAAAGAGATGGTTTTTGTTGAACGTGTCTGGATACCTGGGCCTAGGAGTGGAACTGGGCGCATGAGATCCCTGGACCCAGTAGGGGAGCTGGGGACCTTGCGCCTCTGGGTACTGAATGGGAATTTGTGTCCAGGAGAGGAGGTGAGGACCTAGGATAGGAGCTTGAGGCTCTATTCCCAGGGCATTATGCGAAGGGAGTGAGGGGTGTGAAGTCAGGGGCTGTGATCCCTGGATCCCGGTTGTTGGAACGGCTCTGGACTCGGAAGAGGGGCTGGTTCCTTGAGTCCTGCAAGAGAACTGGACGCTCTAGATGGGGGGTCGAGAGAGAAGAGGGCCCAGGGGATCCCAGGTTTCCTGCTTTCCGGCCTCCCCACCCCCAGAAGCGGTCGATCTCTAACGCTTCAAGCGGGCCACGTGCCGGGCCTACCCAGCCAGGCTCCCAGGGAGCTAACCCAGACGTCAGGCCTGAGTTCGGGCAGCCGGTTGCCACCGCCCACGTCGGCTGCCATTCACTACAGCTCCCGCTAATCCCCTCTCGCTGTCTGGTGGCCGACTCCGCCCCAATGCAGCGGCACTTCCACTGGCTCCCACCAAAACTGGGCGCCTTGATTTCCTTCATTCCCATTTGTCCAGACCAGTGTCAGTCACCGAACACCCACCCATGTCGCTCAGCCATTGGTTTAGAAGTCAGGGCTAGAAAGGGATTCTGGTTAACAAGGGAAGCAATTAAAGTCCAAAGCCAACCTCATCACCCAGAACTCGTCAGGGATTGGATTAAATTCACTGCCCATCTTTACAAGCACCACCTCTCACGTGCATTCATTGGCTTCTGTCCACGACTATCAAGCCGAACGCCCACCCAGCCAGTCCATAGGAGTCTTTCACTAGGCCCTGCCTTACAGTCCACGTGACTCTTCAGAACCGTCAATCTAATTCTGAAGCCGCCCCGCGAATCTGGCACTCGCGTTTCATTGGGCCTCCTGCTTTCTCAGATCGCCTTCATTTGCCCGCCCAGCACCGGCAGCTCGCAGCTATTGCCTCTGAGAGCTGTCAGTCACTCTGAGCCTCCCGCCCACTGCCCCTCGTTGCATTCCGATTGGCCACTTCCTTCAGAGCTCGCGATTGGCGTCCGG